GTATATATATATATATATATACTGCCACCCCTAAAAAATCCCTGCCCCCCCTCTTGCCACCCCATAAATATTTTTCTAGATCCGCCCCTGCCAACAGATTAAAACTATGATCAGAATTTATGTTTCAGAATCAAACATCATTTACTGGTTTATTTATTGTAAGGCTTCATGTTGCCTATTTTACATATATTGTCCACTTGATGGCGCAGTGGAGCAAATGAAGCACACGGTGCATCGGCTCATGAGTCGAACAGTTGGACAGAAAACCTCAGCGCTTCATGAAGCTTCATGTCGCCATCACCAACTTCCAGAGGAGCAGAAGGTGTTTGAGGTGGAACCCTTTGCTTCCTGAACACATCATCTGGTTTCTGAGGACATGCCGTTCATCGGAGCCTGGACCCACTCGTTCTTCAGATCTGAGCAGGCGTTCACACCAACATCTTAATTTCTCACTTACTTTGGCTTCGTCTGCGACTCTGGTAGTTCAGACGCCCACGCCTCGGTGGCAGATGACTCACGCTGGTACTGACTGCCAGGAGCCACCAGTCTCTGGATCTGCAGGACGCTCCTTTAGTCGGCGCTGATGGCAGGGTCTCCTTCTGTAGATTGGCTCGTTTATGTTGGAACCAGAGGAAAACGAAGGTATATTTGTGGCTCGTACCTGGGAAATTGACATTGAAGAGAAAAATCTTACAGTAGTTTTGTATTTGTAATTTTTTTCAGACACTAAACTTTGCCTACATTTCACAGGTTCTTCGGTACGGCTCACAGATTCTGTTCTGCAAGTATCAAAATATAAAAGTCCTGCTCTAATATTTTTGCTCCATTGAGTCCAATACATTTGGAGCAAAACTAATTCAAACACCTGTATTAACATCTGCATACAGAACTTTTTTTTATTAATATAAAATTGATTACCTGAACACGGAAAAGTTAGCAACTGGAACCACGTGAAACTGCTGACGCCTGTCACCAATGTTTTACAAGCGACACCACGCTGAGGTTTTGTGCAAAACGTTTCGTCTTGTGGGCAATGTGTATACCCATACAGCAGGGGGCGCTGCCAAGCTCAGAATAACAAACCAGAGGTGCCGCCAAGCGGCCCAGTGTTGAACTTCTGGTTGACTTCGGACATCCAGCTCATATTAAATCACAATAACATCCCACCAACTCCTAAAGATGCTCAAGTTAAAACCGTCCGTGCTAAATATGGTTTTATGGTTTAACAGAAGTTAGAGCCATTGGAGAAATATGAAACCAACAAGATGAAGTTGACTTACAAAAAGAAAAAGAAAAGCTTTCTGCCTTTGAATGATTTTTATTCAGCTGAATTTGACATTCTGTATCAACATTGGGGTAATTCATAAATATCTAGGGCTACAGTGCTGAAGACAGAGCAAGCAAACTAGATTCGAGAGACCATGTGGTATTTAATGTAAAGGTCATTTTTATAAGTCACTAGTGATGGGTCTGGCAACACCGATGCGTCGGCGCATGCGTCCAGCCCACAGACCAAAACGTGTCGGTTTCAGCAAGTCACATGACCGAAATGACATTAAAGCACCAAACTGTGTTTCTAAGGAAGCCAATCTGTCAGAAGCATTTGCCAAACGGATTCTTGATCTTTTACAGCATCACCTATGGAGCAGCTTCAGAGGAAAGGTTTCCTCAGTGTGGGAACATTTTGATCTCATATCGGAAAATAAATGTTTTCATTTCGTTGTTTCATCCGGTTCTTGTCAGTTTCTACTTGATCTGAATCCAAATTCAGCTGAAACTCTTATTTTACTTTCATATCATGTTCTGTAGGTTAAGTGTCGCATATGTTTGACTAAACTGTCTTATTTAAATAAATCCACCTCCTCAATGCTGAGCCATTATGAGGCCAGGCATGAGAATGAAGTCCCAGATGAACTCAGAAATGCAGCCATTCCACAAATTACTGTTGCTTTTTATAAATTATTTTATATACAGTGATCATATACAGTGAGTGCCAATAACGTTATGGTATTTAATACAGATTGGCCATTCAGGAGATGAAAACTGAAACTTTGAATGCCAGCTGGAAAAAAACTGGCCAGAGGCAGCAGAACCCGACCGGAGGCTCAGATCCGTCGCTCTGCCGTAGATCCAGCTGTGAGTCTCTGGGGCAGCTTGGAGGAGACGGATCACATTAAGGTCCGATGGATGAACGTCCGCTGACCTGAAAACAGGTTTTATTTGGTTTCAATGTAGAGTATTTAACTATGCTCTGTAATAACTGTAAAAACTAAAGGTAACTACTTCACGGATTTTGCTTATCGCGGGTTATTTCGGAACGCAACCCCTAAGAAAAACAAGGGTTTGCTGTGAATGTAATGTTTACTTAATTTTTTTTCTACAGCAGAAGTTTTGTCAAAAAAAATGTAACAGGCCAAATTTCAAAATGTAAAACTTTTTTTTTTTTTTTTTAATAAAAATCTGTGAGAAAAAAAAAATCAGTCCACAAGCATCCTCATTCAAACACATTCACTTAAATTTTCACTTTATGGTTCATGTTCAGATTTTTTATTGACTGTATATCAAATCTATTTTAATATTTTAAATTTAACTGAAGATATGACATAATACAATACATAATATTAAATAAAATATAAAGACTTAAATCTTATTGTATGGACTAGGTCATCAAATCACTACGTTGCCTGTAGGAATTTTTAATGTCCAGCAGGTGTCAGTATTGAGTGAGAGTATCGAGACAGAATCGAAACAATACATGACGCCTCATCTACCCATCACTATAAGTCAGGCAGTATTTGTTTAGTACAGGGGTGTCAAACTCCAGTCCTCCACTGTCCTGCAGTTTTTAGATGTGCTACAGCTACAAAACACTGGAATGAAATGGTTTAATTACCTCCTTCTTGTGTAGATCAGGTCTCCAGAGCCTTCATTACCTAATTATTCTATTCAGGTGGTTCAGCAGAGGCTCATCTAAAAGTTGCAGGACAGCGGCCCTTGAGGACTGGAGTTTGACACTTGTGATTTAGTACCACAAGGCGTTTTCCACTGCATGGATCATACTTCTCAGTGCCTCTGGGAAATATTAGTCTAATTTACAAAAGTTTTCTATGCTAGAGAGCAGCAAACCAATTGTAGTGCTGAAAAATGTACTTTCATACATACAACATACTTTCAGCCAGGTAACCATTCATAACCACAATATATAAAGGTCATGGACCTCTGCATAAATCACTGGAGTCCAGCTCCAGTCCCCAAAGCCCGGTGTCCTGCCAGTTTTAGACAAGTGTCATTTCATCACAGCTGATTCAAACGGTCCAACTAGCAGGTCAAAGTTCAGGAGAGGTTCTGCTAATGAGCCATTGTTCTGTTTGAACCTGGGACAGAACCAAAACATGGAGGATAATGGTAGACCTTCTGACTTTCGACAACTGATTAAATGCACACACCGACACAAACAATACCTTTAAACATGTTCTATTCTGCCGTAGTAAAAAAAGCATTAAGAGGATCTAAGTAAATGTTTTAAGATTTCTTTTTAACACAGCACTTTCTGCTGTAAGTGTAGAATAATCAAGGCCAGGTTTGAAGGGTCTAAATATTTTAGTTCCTGACCTGAAGCGTGTGATCCCAGCAAAAGGCTGCGCCTTTTCCCTGTCCAACATGGCGGCCGCAGTCGACGGTCTCTGTGCGCTCAGACTGGCAGTGCTGCTCCCTGCAGGTCAATGCTCCACCGCCAGTTGGCGCTGCAAGCTTCAACGGAGCCGTGTGTTTCCGGTTCCGGTCCACATTCTGTTCGGTTTTAGCCAGGTTCCTGCTGGTTCTGCTCTACGCTGAGATGCGCCGAGCTCCGGTTGGATCTCAGCGGAGCCCCGGTGCTCCTCGGACGGCTTCAGACTGGACTTTCCCCGGAGTTCGGTCTCCGTTCGGAGGTTCTCCTCAGCGCCGAGGGGCAGCCTTCTCTCCCCGGTTCTCCCCCGGGTTCAGCAGAGGAACTACGGACGGGTCACCGGCGCATTTCAGCGGCGAGAGCCGGGGGTTCGGGTTCCGGCGGCCCCAATCCTTCAGTCCTTCAGGAGCTCCGAACCTGCAGGTGGTTCTGATGTTTCTAAACAAGAAATTTGTTTCAGACAAAAGGGAGTGGGCGGGGCTTGTTTGGTTCAGGTGTTCTATCAGTGCTACCTCGTCAGACCGTAGCACGGATAGACAGTTAAGTCTATCTGTCCGTGCTACCCGCCTAAAACTGCCACCGTCATGTTTACAAACAGAAAACTACAGCAGGTTGTGTTAATGTTAAATATATTAATGTTAAATATATTGGATAGCATTATTTGAGTGACGGGACTGAAGTGGAAGCTTAGGAGTTATGCTTAGCTTAGCATTGGAACAATTTATATACAGGACGAAACCACAAGAAGATCACTTCTTTCATCTGAATGTCCTACCCGTTTACAATGAAAAGTTATAGGTGTATGCACTAATCCTTTATTAGAATATCCTACCCTGTTAAAAGTATTTTAAATACAGAGGCGTTTGTAAGAATAAAACAGTATCAGACAGGGGAAACTGGTTTTTATTGGAATTAAGTTAAAGACAAATACAAATCACTGCAACTCTTTCTTTAGGCATTAATCGGTTGTATGACAGACTTTATCAGATGCCGCCACAATGTGTCCACTGAACTGCGCAGGTTACTGTGTTCCTGAAATGATGGGATATTAATATTACACAGTTTCAGTCCCACATAGTATCGCCACCAACATCTATTTAGTAAAGTTTAATAATAAAAAAGAGTGTAATTAAACTAAAATGTAGGGACAGAAAGGCCCACAAAACAACGTATTTTGTCCTGATTAACTGCCAAACAATAACGTGTTTAACGACATTGCAGGCGGCAAACTGAAGCCATTTATAAATATATTTACAAGCTGCTGTCACGTAAACTAAAAGCATGACGTAATACAGCAGCTTAATGAAAGGCAGGAATAAATTAAGTAAAGCTTACCGTAATCTGCATTGAAATAAAACTTTCACAGGTAGGACGTATTTATAAGAAATCTGCTGAGTCAGCAGTATGTGACGTACATCGATGTGCTCATGCGCATTACCACAAGGTAGGACGGATTTACGGGTAGCACAGATAAACAGAACACCTGTTCAGTTTGCCAGCTGTGTCGGAACCACCAGCGAAACCTTGGCTCGGGTCTGTTTGATGATCAGTATTTTCAAGAGTTGTGTAAATAATTGTAAAATTCTCCAGTTTCCGTAGTTCTATTGCGGTTCTGATTGTTTGGAGCAGCTGACTCTGAACAGAACCAAGGTTCCACTTCAGCTGGTTCAGAACGTTCTTTTTAGACTGACCGTCGTTCATTTCAGGTTTAAACCTGCTGCTGAGTGTCGGACCAATGCTATAAGTGGAACCAGGTGAGCAGAAGGTTACCTGAGCGGTTCTGATCCGGTTTGCCCCAGTGTGAAGCAGTTCCTTTAATCCACATTGTGACTCGGCTTGTTGTCTTCCAGCCCAGAGACGTTCCGGTGGAGAGGTATTTCAGTCCCTCCATGCTGCAGGATCCCTGGAGGACGCTGCAGCCTGTCACACCTGAAGCTGCGGCCAGGACCACCTGAGCAGCTGAGCCAATCAGAGCACAGAACCAATCAGAACCCAGACGAGCAACCTCTGTGTTGCTCGAAGTTTGACTTCTGTCCAATCATTTTTAACCTTTTGGTTACTTTTGTTTTTACTGATAAACTTTTTCTTTTTATATTTTAATAAAAGCTAAAAACTTAACCTGAATCCTGGCGTTTTATTTTCATGGTGAATCAAGACATTCTTCACATTTAAAGCTGTTCTAGAGCAGTTCTGGTTCTGACCCCGTTTAGTTTCACAAAGTCAGAGAATACCCAGAACGGACCCATAATTTCCGTACCGGGTCGGTCACAATGGCGACATGGAAGGGTGGGTCGTTAGCACATTGAGCAGCAAATACATGAAGTTGATTGACAGCACTAAGCCCCTCCCTCCTGGCTCTGATTGGATGTTTCTTCAGATGGTAGATGGAGATCGAGTTTTTTAACAGATTATGATACCATGGCGACGGTTTAAACTGTTAAGTAAAAGTTACATACTGCAGCTTTAAACCCCGATGAGCGGTTCTGATCCGGTTCTTCCAGCCTGGTCTTATTACACCTTCCGACACAAACAACGGTTCTCCATAACCTTTCTGGGAATTAAATGGAGCAACATTAAGAATCTTCATCACCAATGTCTTCATCGCTTCCCAGAACCTACATGGCTCTACCAGACAGAGTTAACCCCACCAGAACTAGAACCAGGACATTCTGATGAAGAGCAGTCGGGTTCAATATCAGACAGGTTCTATTGGGTTTGGAAACACACCAAGTTGCCATAGAGACAGAAACTACACAGTGAGAAGATGACAAATTTATTAAAGTGCAGAAAACTTGATCAAGTGGAACCCGAACCTTGACCTCGTTAATCACTGATGCTCGTTAAGCTTCACCTTTTTAAAAGAACTGTATGAATTTTGAGCCGTGAGGATCAAAGTTTTTTTTTCCTTTACTTAACCAGGTAAACCCCGCTGAGATCTAGATCTCATTTTCAAGAGATCTGGTTCTCAGTTCTTGTTTCAAACCATTTCAGTTTGTTGTTTATTCAATCCTAGAAAAAGAATAATTTAAATAAACCGAAAGCTGATGAGTGGATGGAAGCTCGTTAACCTTGTTAACACCCATGCTAACATCAATTAGCTCAGGTAGTTGTGACTGGAAGCTTCTCTCATTGGTTCCCGTTGACCTGTTTCAAGTCATCAGCCATCATCTGTTTGGTTGGGACGTTGACTGTGGACAGGTGGAGTGGGCGGAGCTTCTGCTGATGTCACTGATGGAGTGCTTCGTTGCTTCATGAGAGGAAGGCAATTGGTCAGCACCTGTAGAGAGACCGAACCGAGGGTTGTGACTGGCTGAAAGTGCCTCTGTCTAACCCTAACCCTAACCAACCAGATGTGGTTCCTGTGGACGATTCAGCAGCTAAACGTTTACCGGACCGGCAGGCTGCCCCGGTTCCAGGTAAAAGCCAGTCATGATGATGTCACTGACCAGGCGGAGGCGATGGGCGTACAGCGGCTCTGGCTCTTCAGGCATTCTGGTTGGCACAACAACGCTCCATCGCCGCAGCTCTGCGATCACCTCTGCAGAACTGAAGAGGACAGCCGGGTCGGCGCCGCAGCGGTTGATCTGCTCCACCAGACGCTCCTTGTAGTGAGCCCTGCCGGGACAGACAGCAGCTCACCTGAACAGGTACGCAGGCGGAGGACGCACAGCCTCCGACTGGACCTTACTGGCAGTATCCTCCGTACGGCGCCGGCCGTCCACAAGGCTCCTCCTTCGTCATACCGCTGTCATCTCGCAGTTCCAGCACGAAACACGCCACTACCACACAAACACACCTGTCAGACAGACCACGATGCGCCGGGTTCCCCGGAACAGGAAATGACCTCACCTGTCTGACCGCACTGAGCCAAGCTGCCACTGGACGGTTCCAACCAGGAAGGAGTCACTCTATAGTGCTGAGAGGGAGGAGAGCATCACCAGCGAGTTCACCCGGGTCTGGTCGAGGCCCAGACCCGGGTCCAGCTAACCTGCAGCAGCCGGTGCAGCCGGGCCACGCTCCAGTCTCTCAGGTGGTACAGGCAGTCCCTGGGGTGGTGCGCATGTAAACCTCTGGACGCACACTGACCGGAGAAGCTGCAAGCCTGAGGAGGGAGACGTCATGAGGAGACTAGAACTCGGTAGAATCTGGCAGAACATGGACTCACCGGGCCCAGAGCAAAGCGCTGACTGCAGCCGCCACAGAACTGATGGCGACACTGAGAGCAGGTGAAGTGAAGACACCCTCCTCTAGACAGGCTGAAGACGAACTGACAACTAGGACACTCTGAGGACAAACAAGACTTTACTGGAGGAAGAAAGGCGGTTAGCTACCAGCCCCAGAGACACGATCGGTTTAGATATTCATACCAGAGCCCTTAGGTACCAGACTGCAGGTTCCCTGCTGGTTCCTAGAGGTTCTAGCAGTAGAACAGGAGGCAGATGCTTTAGTTAATCGGCTCCTAAACCAGATCCCAGTTTACCGAGGCAGACGCTCGTCTACTGGTTTAGGTTATCCTGTGCCATCTATCGTTATGCTACTTCAGGCTGCATAATGGTCAGTTTGTTTCTCCTCGTATTCTCCATTCAGGGATCATCTGCTGTCATTGTGGTGGGTTGCCAGGTTTTACTTGCCCCCCTGCCAGTCTAGGCGTTGCTTGTTATTATTTTTTATAATTATTTAAAATAATCTCTGTAGTGCATGCGTCTCTGCGGTGCTCAGCCTTTCACCGGCAGAGCAGAATCATTCCTGAAAGGTTCACAGTTGATGGTGAAACCGCACCAACCACAGGCGTCTCTGCGCGTCGGCTGCAGTTTACCTCGGCATGGATCACGTCTCACCTTTCACTCAGACTGGACGATTTGGAAAGTGTCGTTGGAGAAAAGCTTCACCTTATTGGCAATTATATAGATGACATTTGTGGAACTGCAAATGTAATCTATAGATGTGCTTTCAGAGATGTGCGTTGAGCATGCAGAGAGAATTATATCTTTGTGAACAAAGAATTATGAGTGGCGTTTACATCTCAACCTGCTGCCCAGCGCATGGCTCTGTTGTGTTCCTCAGTGGTTCAGCCTGAGCTGTTGCGCTGGCCTCATAGTCACGCTCCACATTGTTTTGCTTTGTTTCTCTTTCTTTTTGTTTTTTGTTTTTCAGCACCACAATGCTTCAAACTGCACCACATCAAATGTCATCCCTACCTCTGGTCAGGTAGAGTTGCTCTATGGAGATCAGAAAAAACTTGTTCCTGGGCAACCAAAACAAATATTCTCTGTGCTTATTAAAAACTCAGGAAACATAAAGTTTGGTCCCTACTAGTGCTTCATAAATTAAATCTCCTTGTTTATTTATTTTAATTGTATTTTTATGGTTTGTGTTTTAAGACTGTAGCTGTGGATTTAAGCGTTGTGAACGATGTATTCCAGAAACATTCCTGTTAACGTAGCATCTTTTAATTCAAAAACATGGTGGACTGCCTCGGCCACCGGGCTCAGCTAGTTTTCTGGGGGAAACTCTGCACTGTAACAATTAACTTTATGTTTCCTTTCAGTCCAAATGCAGATTGAACCAACTGGATCAAGCCCAAGTCAGACGCTAGAACCAGGTCCAGATCAAACCTTGGTATGAACTCGGACCTCGATTACTTAAAGGCGTGTTTTTACCGATGGTTTTGTAGACCCACATGGAGCTGTCCCAGTCCTGCTGGGTCTGCTGTTTCCACGCCTTGAACTCTGCACAGGAAAGTCCCTGATGGTGAGGAGACCACTGCAGAGCAGACAGACCGGGTCAGATTCTGGTTGGAGTTCCGCTCAGACTGCAGGTGTGTGTGTCTTACAGGTGACCTGCACTGGGAACAGGTGCTCTTCCTACAGCTTGGACAGTCCATCCTCAACCGGTCCGATTCATGGAGCATCCCAAAGGAACACTGAAATGAAAGTTATAACTCTGTAGTTCTATGAATCCCGGATAATCGCCAGAGGTGGAGCTTCATGCACTGAATGATCATTCTTGTGCATGCTCAAGTCACCTGTGACTTGGCAATAACCCATGTGATTCTAGTCACATGATACCTGGCGCTCAATCCCTCAAAACTCTCACATGCCGCAAGAAGTCCAATAGACAGAGTACTCTGGTGGTCATCCTGGATTGATAGAACCATAGTTACAGTCATAAATTTTGTTGTACTGACCACCAGAGGGTGGATTTTTAAGCACTGGATGACTTATGTCAACAAAATCTAAAAGAACAACCACTACACTGCCTACCTCTGTGGGATGTAGAAGGGTGCTGCTCCAAGATGCCTTGAAGGGGATGAGGCAAAGCCACATTCACCCGGTAAAATCAAGCAAAGGTGCTTGGTGACTTCCAGGAGACTGCTCTGTGCATGGTGTCCAGAAGCGGTCATGGCAGGCCCCTTGTAGAGTGACATCTTACTCCTGCAGGCAGAGGTCGGCTTTGCAAGGTGCAAGTATAAGTGAGCGCACATATGGCACCCATGCATTAGCCATCATACATACAACTTTCTCAACATACTTTGGGAAAGTGGATCTGGGCCTGCAATGGACTGGTGACCTGCCCAGGGTGACCCCACCTGTTGACCACTGGAGATGGGCACCAGCACCTCTGGTAACTCCAATAGGGATAAGCGTATAAGATGCAGATGACAGTCATCCTCCTCACCCAGCTAGGGACAAGGGGCTAGCTTCTGAATTGAAGAAGGTACCCGTAGGACAGAATGTACAGCGCCCACAAATCCGGGTGTGGATAGTCCAGCTACCAACTTGTCTTGGTGTAAAATAACTGACTGCTGACATTAAATATTACCTGCCAGCCAATTTGCCTCTTGAATGCCTGGGAGGGCACAGCCAGACGGTGCCACACGAAAGCAGTACGATGTCTGGACCCCTGATTGGGGACAGGATTTTGGCAGTCTCTGGTCCCAAAACTGGCATTTGCCCCAAGCCAAACCTGGATGCCTCCTGCATGGCAACCAGGCATGCAGTTCCCATATATTCTCCTCTGAGGGAGAAACCAGAGACCCTGGAGCTCAGCTCCAGAAGGTAATCGAGGAACTGGGTACTCAAGGTTGCCACTGAAATGGCATTGTTACCATGGACTGATGCTCCATCCTACTCAGAAGGAAGTGCTACGCAGCTACCAGCATTGGCCTGAAAACACCAGAAGACGGCCTTCATTTGGGCCAGTTCAGTAGTCAGGTGATCCACCTTTGTGGACAACCTACCCGTATCAGTGCACCTGGCTCTCTTCGCCGAAACCAAAGGTGCCTCCAGGCTGCATTGGGCACGCCATCTGTCCCGATGGCAACAGGTCTTGCTGTGCAGATCCCGCCCAGTCAGTAGGCTGCTCCAGCGCAGTCAGCTGATTTAGCCTGACCTAGCACGACGCTATAGATGGGGCACGCGTTGTCCGACAGTGAGATGCACATGAGGGCTATGAGTCACGCTTGTCATCAGGCTGGAGTGAAGCCAGTTAGGTGGAGCAACATAAATTATACAGCATCATATCACCACCATAAGTACAATCTCCATATAGGCAAATTAAAGGACTTGAGCGAGAGCAGAAAATGCCATAGGCGAGTCAAAAAAGCCACAAATAAGCAAGTGACAAATCAAAGTGAACAATAAACTACTGCTGTAGAAAAAAGAAAAACAAAACTTAGCAGTTATCAGAGAAACAAGCACTTATCTGGTGGAAACAGAAAGTAGCTTTTGCTGCCCCTGGAAGCAAGACTCACCAAAAACAAGGCTGCAAGCACAAGAAGAAAACTGCGTTAAACAGAAAAGCTACTAGCTTTGCATAACCACACCTGTACTCAAGCACACCTGCGCGTGAGAACAAAAGGGATTGAATGCCGGGTGTCATGTGACTATAAAGTCACATAGGTCACTGGCAGGTCAAAGGTGACTTTGTTGTGAATAACACGATACATGATCCACTTTTCTCAATTTCAATTTAGCATTGGCCGATATCGATCCGATGTAATTTTAATGACTTAATAATACAAGAACATCCTACCAAAGATAAATACACTTTATTTTCAAAAGAACATGGAACTGGTAAACAAAAGCAAAAATAAAATGGACTCTCAGTCTCTGTTAACTAAAACTGAACACAACATAAAACCAAAGTGGAAATAAAAACTACATTCAACCAAAAGAGTACAGATTGTGAAGTCTGCATATCATTATATTTATATTGAGAAGATGGGCAAAACCCCCATTTTTATAAACAAAAAGTGCAAAGTAACAAAAGCACACTAAATAAGACCAGATGTCTCAACAGTCTATAAGCAGATCTGAAGCCACTTTAGTCAAGACAGATTCTGAGCAACAAATACCAGCATGTTGAGTTTGTGTGGCAGAAGGCCGGATCTCTCAGGAGGAGCAACGTTTCCAGCTAAACATTCTCTCTGAACTGGTGCTTGTTGCACAAATTGGCTTTTATTGTGGTCATGCGTACATTTGCTCAGAGCACGAAGCATAGAATTAGTCTGAATAGATCATCCCGTAGGGACAGGGCACATTTTCACCAACATCAGATCTAAACATTTGTCAGTATCAGATATTAGTATTGGGTCGGTGCATCTCTAACTCTGACTCAACCTGCAATGATCATTTAGCGCTTGAAGCGTCTGGCAGTCAGAAGGGATGAAATGTAAAAACAAACACGCTGATGGATCCTGGATTGGACCAGAACTGGACCCAGAACCGGTCCGATTCATGGAGCGCCCCAAAGCAACGCTGAAACAATAAACAACCTGCCAAGGTTCTGACCCTAATGGTCTCACCAGAACCGGGCCCAGTGAGGTTCTTACGTGAGCGCACCAGCAGAACCGGGGCATTTCCTGCAGGGCTCGGTCCCGGAGTTTCCTCTGGAAGAGTTCATGGATGTCAGGAGGCAGGAAGTGACGGATCTGGAAGCACAACACGTCAGGACTCCCAGCAGCTCTCACTCACCTGACTGACTCACCTGACAGACTCACCTGTGTGTCCAGCAGGTTAAAGTAGTCCATGGACTCCTCTAGCGCCCCCTGGCCCCTGATCTCTGGTTGGCCGCACTGCGGACAGGTGAGCTGGTGGATGGCGCGTTCCTTGATGGCGACGGAGAAACAGGAAGCGAAGCAACTCTGACACAAGAAGCAGGAGCAGTGGGTCATGGTGATGATCTGCATGAAAACAAGCAGAGATGAAGACCCAACAGGAAGTAGAGCGCTGTCTGTCCTGTGATTGGCTGGATGAGACAGTCACCTTGCTGAAGGACACCTGATCACGACAGATCGGACAGATGTGCGTCAGGAACTTCAGCGCTGAAGGGAGATCTGGATTATGCTGAACCGCCTCTATGACATCATCAATGCTGAAGCTCCGCCCAGTCATGGTGATCAGAGCCATGAAGATGGCGGCCCGATCTGGAGACAGGTGAGCCGATACCTGGGAGACACATCAGCTGAGATGAGCTGAACGTCCAACGTTCTAAGATTGTCGTAAGGGAAACATCGTGTAACTATTTCATCAGGTAGTCGGATATGCCCGACTTCTCCATCAACATCTAATGATTATTGAAGGGCGCCACCATTCCCTCGGCCCCCCATTTTCGCTCTTCGGTACGCTCTGCCCACCTGCTCTACCTGTAGCAACGGACAACTAAATGTTTCCGGTATTCTCAAATCCAAAACTTGTCAGCTCCTACAGCCATAGCCATCCACTCCTGTGAGTTGTGAAGTTCTGCTGAAGAAATACATCCAGTTTTGACACGTTCTGCCAACGTGTCTCTCTGTGGCTCTCGGTTTGTGAGAAAAAGTCCTGTAAACCCAGTCATGCATGAGGACGCCTGGTGGATTCATGTCAAAACAAACCCCAAAATGCCTTATATCCTTAAGACAGGACTGCTGTTGGTTACACATCGGTGGCTTTAGATTTAGTTTCCCAGTTGACCAGTGAGAAATGTTCTAGAAAGAATACAGGCATGTCAAAATGAGCTCAAGTCGCTCTCTGGATATTATTGGCTCGGAAAAAGTCTTTTCATAACGTTATTGGTCGAATGAGGCGTCAATCAAAAGGTGGGGCTCTAGGCTGCCCAATAGAATCGTCATAATGGACACTGGCAGATCTCTGAAATTAATTATAGTGATTCAAAGAGCCCTGAGACACAAAACCATCTCTGAATTTAATAGCACAACAAAAAATGAAATCTTTATGACACTTGAATCCAATTTGCATAATAACTTGGAACACGGTGTAGACTCTGTTTGTACTAATGGTCATTACTCAGTTGCTCTACAGACTGATTGCTGTCATTAAAGTAGCGGTGCACTGATTTCAGTTTTCTGGCCGATCACCGATATTTAAAAGCCTGACTGATTTGTTTCTGTACTAAATTTAGTACAAAAGTAGCAAAGTTGTCAGCAGCAGGCTGACAGCCTTGTGGTTTCACACGCAGGTCCTGTTAAACAAAGCAGGGCCGATCAAGCTGCATACCCCAAAATGGCCCTCACCCCAAGCCGAGTCCCCAGGGAAACACCGCTGAGGTAAAACCCATCCTCACCTTCCTCAGGTCGGCTTCGGCTGCTGGACTCTGATCTCCAGAACCACGTTGGTTCTGTTCTGACCGCCTGCCTCCATCCAGCCTCAAAGCTCCCATCATTCTGCTGAGGGGCTCAGTGGGGGGCGCACCTGCGGGGCGGGCCAGGTCCGCAACAGACGGGTCCAAATCAGAACCTGAGGTATGAGTTCAGAACCTGCTCAGCTGCAGCCCATCCTGAACAGAACCAACGCTACTTAAAAGGGATGGCGTTTCTTTGCAGGGCGGGGTTTATAACTCCCATCTCACCTGGAGGCGAGGAGCTCAGGAAAGGGTTGGTGCCGCCAGAGGAGGGCGGAGCCCCGAAGTCGATCCCTTTCAGCTCCTCGGTGTACGATGTCCTGACGCTGTCCTGTTCCCATTGGTTGGCTGCAACAGAAGGGGAGGGGCTTAGTCTAGAAACGCTCAATCAGCTCTCACATGAGATACTGTGGTATTGGCCAATTACGTCACCATGGTAACTCAAAAGATCTCTGAAGGCAATCACACCCATACTGTTCTATGTTTTCACCCTGGGGGTGGCGCCACCTATGGGCCATTGCTAGGCAACACCCTCCTTCTAAGATGGAGTGGCTTACCTTCAGCCAGGTGGGCGGGGCCGTGGGCGGGGCTCTGGGGCTGCTGGGAGGAAGGGGAGGAGCTACAGGAAGAGGAGACAAAGCCAGATCAAAACCGGTACATCACCATGGAGACGCATCACCAGGACTGTCCCCAACCAGGACCCTATATGACCTCTGACCCAGAATCCTTAATAAGCACATTAAGGTGACCAGAACCTAAACCAGAACCATCAGAACCACCAGAACGTCCACCAGAACCACCAGAACCTCCATCAGACCAACCAGAACCTCAAGAACCACATCTAAAAGCCACGGGCTTGTCAGAACCACTATCAGAACCTGGTCCTGGTTCTGATACCTTTACACCACTTAATAAAACCCGGTCAGAACCGGCTAGGTTCTACCTACAACCCAACCTGTAAGGAACTCACCTGACTCCTGCAGGGGGCGGAGCTTGAGCCACACTCCTGGCGTAAAGGGGCGTGTCCTTCTGGAAGGCCAGCCTCATCTCTGACAGCAGCAGCGTCAGGTTGGACACACCCTGGGAGGAAGTGACGTCACTGAGCGCTTAGCCTCGCGGGTCAGGGGTCAGGGGTCAGACAGTAGGCTTACAGGAGTCCAGTTCCGCAGCCCGTCCACACTGACTGTACCGGAGGAATCTACGTGAGGACAGGATGGGTTGATCACCATGGCGACGGAGGGACAGACGACACAGCGCGGGCGTGACAGCGGGTGGGTCTGGTGCAGCCAGACGCACACCGGGATGTTGTAGGCACTTCCTGTGGAGACACCAGAACCGGGGTGAACAATAGGTCCGGACCGGAACCCGCAGAGCCAAGATGGCCGACAGCCTGACCTTGGTAGAAGACAGGGAGCGTTCCCGACAGGTGCAGTAGCCTCCTCGTCTCCTTGTTTGGAAAACCTGCGAAACACAAGAACATCGGTTCTGATTCAAACTGTCGGAACCAGGCCACACCATGCTGATCCACCCAACGGACCACAGCCGGGCCAGAAACTGTGTGGGTCAGAACCACAGAACCAGAGAGCAGCAGTTCTCCTCGTGTCGGGTCAGAACCGAGATAGGGTCTTGGAAACGGGTTGACTTGGAGCCTGGTCGTCATGGAAACTGGCCAGCCTGCTAAAGGTCATGAGATCATGGAGAGACATCAGAACATTGCACAGAGATTGCCATGGTTACATGAGTCCTAACACCTGACGGGCAGAAAAAGCTTTTCTGCTGCACCTTTTAGCTAGAAGAGGTTCCTGGCAGATAAGCCAGAGAAACATCTGATCCTTGGAAAATCTCCCTGAAAGTAATCACAACCTGATGGGGTCCGCTGCACCATCACCTTAATCTGGAGCTCTGAGTGTACCAGGTTCTGGTCCAGACTCCAGCCGGTCCACTCCAGAACCACTCCAAAGAAATGTGAAGGTCAAACTGGAAAGGCATTTTGAAGCTGCGCAGTGTGAATACTTTTTGGTTTAAAGGTTCAGGACAGACAATCCAGTCTTATTCACTGGAAGGTCTGGCCCAACAGGATCAAGAACCTCTCAACCCGCACCGGACCCGGTTTCCTTCAGGCTCAACCGCTCTACAGTAATGAGGTTCTGATCCGGATCCGAACAGAAACGGTTTAGAATCTCGGATATAGTCTGAAAGCTTGTGAATTAAGCTCAGCGAGTCTGCTCTGCTGCGCCCCCTGCTGTACGCTGTGATTACCTGCTGCCCTCATTAAATTAAATTAACTTCTTTTACTCACAGTAAAAGTCCACAAACAGCCGCAGGTCTCGGAACCGAGCCCGGACCGACTGCAGGTCCTTCAGAGTCTCTGTGGGGTAACGGTACCGACACTGGCAGGAGGAGGAGGTTCTGTTAGCAATAAGCCTGAACTTGGAACCGGTTCGGTTTGTTCAATAAAGTTTGCTCTCACCTCCGTCAGAGTCTGTTGCTCCGCTTCCGGTCCAACCAGAGGCATGTTACAGCAGAACCGAGCCCAGAACCATTTTACATTCAGAACTACAGCCTAACAAGCTAACAGTGGCCAAACTGGACACGTCACTTCCGCTTCAAGACCGCCACACTCATAGACATAAGCATAGACATAATATAAGGATAGACCC